ATTTTCAGTTGAGTTATCAATTCATTTTAATAGTAAATATTATTTATAATTAGTATTTATACAAAATAAAGATTATACTAAATAATTTGATATTTTGTTTATCTTTATTTTCTTATTTATATTATTGCTTGATACTAATTTAATCAAATCTTCAAATAGTTAATAAGTATAATCATTACAAATAGGACAAAGTCCTCCCAAGTTATCATGATATTTGAATCGTCTATTTTGTAAATGAGCTATAAAGAAAGTTCGTTTTATTTCATCAGGATATGTAGCTGAAAATTTCTCTCATAATACATTTTTTGGTCTTTAAGATAAAGAACAGGTAATTGTATTTTTTTGTCAATATGATATAAGTTCATATTTACATTTGCTTTATTAGCAAAAAATAATTCAAATTCCCTTTCTTTAATCTCAACCATTTTTTTTACGAATAATAATAGGTTTATTAATTGCTTTACATTCTGGACCATTTTTGTGTTGATATTCACAAGCGGAATAAATTGTTTTGGTGAAACCTAGATAAAATTTTATTAGATTATATATATTTACTATTTACATATATAATAAATATGTTTAATATTATTTACTTGTAAATTTTCTATTAATTCTTTATAAGTAAAATTTTTCGCAATTATTGATAAAATTTAATTTTTTCCATTTGAACTATTAGGATTAGCATTAAGACTTTCACAAAATGAATATCAAAAAACATTGGTAATACTCTTATAATTTTCAAATTCGCTATTTCTTATTATTATATTCAATTTGGTATTTAACAATCCATTTGAATATAAGTTGAAAATGGTTTCTTTATCACTCCTAGGATCTTTAACGTGGCTCTAGAATTCCATCTATAGAATATTTTATAATTAGATAATAAATAAATAAAAAAGCAATCAAAATTTTGAAAATATTTACATTAGACACATCTCCTTCAAATGAAGTAATATTTTTATATCCAATTGCTCCAAAAATTGCTCTTTATACTCGAAGTTTACGTGTACTAATTTTATGATTATCATTATAAACTTCACAAATAAAACTTCTTATTTCAATAATTGTACTTTTTTGATTATATCAATGATTAATAATACAATGCCAAAGTTCTTCATTTCCAGACACATGTTTTTTTAAATATAATTTGAACATATGTTGCATGACTCCTTCATTATTCCAATCATCAAGGGTGCAGGTTTCGGAAAATATTTTTTTACGCAATTCTTGGGTTTTAGATTGTACAAGCGGGTGATTTATTCTAAAAAGATTATTACCATCATAATTTTACAAGAATTGAGTTTGTCTCTAAACTAAAGAAGCTGATTCACTTTGAAATTGTTTTATTATTTTACTATCTTGAAAAATACTAATTAAAAATAATCCCTTTATAATCTTTTGCCAAATTATACTTTGTTTTTGTCTATACTTATATATAAAAAAAGACGCAAACCCTTTTCCATTATTTTTAACTGAAATAGACGTTACAAAAACCTTAATATTACATAAATAAATTATAAAAGAACAAAACTTCACACTATCAAGTATTTGTTGAATTATATAGAAATCATGAAAACCTAATAGTGTTACTCCTGGGTATTTTGTTTTACTTTGACTAAATGCTTGTTGATAAGTGGTGTTTATAGCGTTAGAAGAACTAGATAAAATCCCACTATTAACTCCCTCTTCTTCACAAATAAATCCCAGTATATTCAGGTTTTGTAAGTTATAAATTATTTTAACAGTAAAATATTTTGGTTGAGTTTTAAAGCAACTTGAAAGCTAAGTCTTAATGGAATAGGATATACAGTCAACTCTTAATATAGCGAACTCTTGATATAACAAATTTTTTGAACAAATATAATAAAAATACTTTTGTTATAGCGAATTAGCCAATCAAATCTCTTAAACTCTTCACTATAGCCTTATAGTGAAGTTGAGATTTAGGACATAGAGTTCGTTATAACAAGAGTTGACTGTACACCATTTTCAGATTCAGAGTTAGAAAAATATTATTAATCTCATAAAAAAGGATCATAATAAAGTTCTGGGATGAGACTGCCTATGGCAACAAGATTTCTAGGAGTGTAATAGCCTTTTGACATTTTTAAAATTGCAATTAGTTGAGAACACGAGATTTAGAAAAAGCTTTTTTTAATTATAAATCATAACCCCATAGCAATCATATAAATTTTCTATCTATCATGTGTGAATCAGCAATTAATTTAAATTGATTTATTATAATCAAATATAAAAAAGTCTATAATTTCTAAGTAAGAAATATCTATATTATATTAATATTTAGGAATTGACTAAGTAAGCTAATCAGATTATTTATAAATTTTTGTAGTTTTATTTGAAGAATATATTAATAAATTAAAAATATTAAATTTGAAATAATTTAAATTAAGATAAAATATAAATAAATAGAATTAATAAATTATAAATAATTTAGAAGTTAATCAATAAAATATTAAATAAATAGAAAATTCTATTTTAAAAAAAATTATCAGAAATAATAAGAATTAAAAATCCTTAAAAATTTTAAACTAATCTAATAAAGTTACTAGTAGATATATAATTTTATCATAAACAGATTGTAATATTTTTAATATTATTAATATATAATTCTTTTAAATTATAACAGTTTAGATATTTGAATGATAAATCATTTTAAATTATAATAATTTAATTATAAATGCTATCTTATATTCACAAATATCAGAGATTTTACCTTATAAGAAAATGATTAATCAATCATTATAAGATTAGATTATTAGTAATATAAAGAAATATTATAATAATAATATAAAATATTAGCAATCAAATGAACTGATCATGGTAATACATATTGTATCTAACCAACTGAAAATACAATATGAATGTACTCTAATAATTTAAACTTTGAAATACAAAATTGGTATAATTATATTGGTAACAAATAGGCAATAGTCAGGTTATAAGATAGTGCACTTTTTTAGCTAGTTATAATATCAATCTAATTATGTTATCATTTAGATTAAAAGTTAAATTCAATTTTTGAATTGATTAATTATTTTACTAAATAGTCAATTATAAATAAAACAATTTATAAAGATTTCATTTGATTCAGTTTAAAATATATTTATTATAAGAAATTAAAATAATTAAAAATAAAGATAATTAGTTCAGAATGAAGTGAAGAACTATATATATATAGGTTTAAGATTATACAAGATATCTAATTATTTATTCGTTTAATAATTGAATCAATGTTGATTAATTCTATAATTATACAAAAATCTAGGTAGAGCTTTAAACTTAATAACAGTTCTTATTTTCTAGTACTAAAAGAAAATGAAATTAAGAAATAATTAAAAGAAAAACTAAAAATAAATAAAAAATATGTGATAAATTTATTGTTTACTAAAAAAAATTATTAAAGAAAAATTAATATCTCTAATTATTTAATTTCATAATTTTAGTATCTTATTTATATAAACTTATTAATATAAATAGATATAATAATATATTTAATTATGATATGTACTAACTGTATTAAAACTGTACTAATTATAGTTATTTTCTAATCCTATCTATATATTTAACATCTTAGATTTATATATCATTTGTATTACATATGTTACATTATATTGATTAATATATAATATGTAATTTTATAATATTAAATAAAAATATATATAAATTATATATATATATAATTTTTATTCTATTAAGTAATAAATTAAAATCTAATAATCTTTTATAAATATAAGTATCACTATATTTTATACTAAAACATAAAAAAAAAACTTAAATTTAATGTTAATTTTTTTAATAATTTTTATAATTTATTTATATTTATTTTTTTTAAATTTTAAAAAATAATTTTAAATAATTAATATAAAATATATAATAATATAATTTTTATTAAAATAATTTTAATATAAGTAAAAGTTATTTTATAATTTAAATAATTAAAAATTTTGTTAATAATATATATTATTTATTTTATAAAGAAAATATCTTAATTATATAAATATAGATTATATAATATATATAAATTTATTATAAGAAATTATATGATTTTATAGATTAAATTGCTATTATTTATATTATACTATCTTTAGTATATTTGTTTTTTAGAGAATTTAAAAATTTTTTTAAATTAAAAATATTATTTTTTTATGTTTATATTTTATATAGTATTTAAATATCTTATATATAAGTAAAAATTATCTTATAATTTATATTAATTTTTAATTAAATAAATAATTTAGATTTAAAGATATTTAAATTTATTTTAGATTTAATTAATATTAATATTAAAGCTTAAACATCTTTTTTTTTTTTTTTTAATAATCAATTAATATTAAAACTTAAAACATCTTTTAAGTTTAAATGAGTTTTTTATTTTTACATTATGATATATTTAAAAAATATTAATATTTATTTAAAATTAACATAATAATTATAAAATATTTTATAATTTATATGGTAATTTAACAATATACTGTATTACTAATAATAAATTTAAATATTTACAAATTTTTTTAAAAAATTAATTTTATTTCTTATTAAATTTTTTTAATTATTAAATTTAATTAATAATCATTAAATTTTGATATGTAAAAATATCAGAGCAAATCTTTTTATGAAACTTTGTTCTAAATATAATAAGCATCCGATTTTTTTGCGACCAACGCATCGAAATCTAGAATTTTATATATTGGTCATGTATCAAAAAAAAATATAAACAAAAAAAAGAGTCTATGTTGAAAATGAAATCAAAAATCAAATATTGTTGTTTGAATATTAATTTCCGGTTATCGAAACGTCTATTCTCGTAAATGTTCATTGAATAAAAACTTGATACATATAAATTTTACCGTCATATAATGAATTCGTTGTTAAAATATATTGTATTAAAGTACTTGATATAAAATCCATGAAACATCAATGAATAATTTAATCGTAAACTGTACAAAATGTGGAAAGAATATTAATATTTTTTTTTTATTTCAGAAATTGGCCATAAACCATTTATGTAAATGAACCATTATGGTTTTATACGTACCGTGAACAATTCCGTATAATAGAGTCCAAAATAGTACATAAGAAAATAAACCACCAAATACACCTTCAGTCCACACATCAGAACCATTGCGAAAATATATTCCCGGATGCGTGTTAGTCTTGACTGACCATATAAGAAAAGAAGTGAATAACGCTGTTAGAGCATAAAATATGAAACCACTATAGCCAGTTAAGCCCAAAATTCCGGCAGCTGAACCATTGATTGCTGACATTGAGGAACGAATAAACGTGATGGTCTTAGTATTATGAACGACGTTTTCAGGAACGTATAAAGACGCTTGATTTTGTGGTGACTGACTAGCCATGCTTGTAATTAGTTATGACAAATGAGGCAAGTAAATTAACTTTCTATCGCTCGGTTTTAACAATTTCACGGAAAGAAGTGGTCCCACAGGAAATTCGGTAAAAAATTTTCTTATAAGTCACGTGTAAAACATACTAACCATTTTGAACCAAAAAAATTTTCCCCTCGATTTTACAAGTTTTTTTTAATATCTGAAAATCAATTACTATGGTATTACCAAAATCAAACTTTTTTTTAATGCTTATCAATTTTTGCAAAAAAATCCGTGAAATAGAGATATTAGAAATCCATCTGTTATTATAAAGAAACAAAAATGAATCAACTAGAAAATTATAAAATATCGTAAAAAGACAGAGATTTATTTATTTCAGGATAGCAGAGAGCAGGGAAGAAGTTTAATAATAAAAGATTAATAAACTTTTTTTATTTCGTAAAGAAATTATTAAATTATTAAAATAAAAATATATGTTTCTAAATAAATCAAATCTTCCTGGCGTATGCATGCATTGTACTACACCCAGTGTGACACGTGGTTACATTCGAAAAATTTTAAGATTATAAATAAAAAGTCCATATCGTTTGAATAACCATTTTTTACTTTTATAATCAATAACCTTAAAATTTAGACAGAGAAAATATTTTATAGGCGAGAGAATTACTGATCAAGCGAATAAAAAAGGAAATAGCACGTGTATAATAGTGATGTTTCAAGATAGACAAATATACAACAATGGAAAATCACACTATGTTATAATTAGTAAATTCATTCATTATCGCCCTTCTTATGAAATCCCGTTTGACATTTACATATTGTTTGTTAAACCAACCCCTCCAAATTAAGATTGATTGTTTATATAATTTTTGACCTGACCTTTTTTTTTTTTTATCGTTGATTTATTTATCAAAATATTTTTTCAGTAATTACTTGAAAATACTAGTAAATATAATTTTTCTTTATAAGCTTTTACATTTTTTGATAAATTTATAGTAACTGATAAGTATATTTTATTTCAAAACGAATACTACACATCTAGCTAGTTTGCTGATAAAAAAAAATCTGATCCACTTTTCTTTTTATAACGATCTCGCCAAATCTTTGTAATGAATAGCAATAGTTCTCCCTTACAATCCCAGCAGTATTATCCCCAAGATGTACCCGTAGACTCCATTCAAAAACAACAACCACATAATAATAGCTCACAAAAGCCCTTTCAACACCAATTAGAACAACCGCAACAAACAATTTATACTGAGCCAGTTGTTAAAACTGAGAATGAAACCCAATCCGGAAATGCTTCAACAGCGGCAAAGGAAGCTGATACGAAAAAAAAGAGAGCTGGTCCTAAAAGACGAAAGGTTACTCACGGTAATAATCTGTCTGCAATTATAAAACACGTATTCCATGTATATTATTAACCTTTCAATACTTATAGCATGCGTATATTGTCGAAGATCTCATATGACTTGTGATGATGGTAAATCTTTTCCTTTGCGATTTTCTTTTGTAACCTTATTCGATTTTTAATACTATTTATCCTTAGGTCGTCCTTGTCAACGTTGCATCAAGCGTAGCATAGGGCATCTTTGTCATGACGAGCCAAAGGGTACTCACGGTTCTCAACAAGTGTCCACCGGACACAATGTTTTAACGGCCGGTATTTTAACTATGCAATCGCTTCCTCAGGACGGTAATTGTTATACATTTAATATTTAAATGATCTTTACCCTTTCACTAGCTTTACTTAGGAAATCTGTTTTCTCTTGGAAAAAGTTATGAGATCAAATGCTTATAATAATTTAGCCATGCAAGGATTTTCCGGACAATTACCGACGACACCTCTCACTTTTGCTAGTGAGCATATGGGTCATGAATTTACAGTTCTTACGTAAGATCTCCTTTAAAAAAAATTCGTCAAATTGTTTCAATTGGTTCAATCTTTCAACCCTTTTTTATTTTATTATTTTCGCAGTGACTTTTTGGAGAGTGTGGATGGAAATACACATAATAATCAAAACGCTGATGGAACTCCAATAGATTTTACTGAGAAATTTCTTTTGACGGCTGCTGATCCGTCTGATGGTACTTCGGAAGATCGACTAACTCAAGTGATTAATGCAAAGTTTGAGGCTGGTTTTTTAAAGCCATATAATTACGTCAGCGGATATGCCCGATTACAAAGATATATGGAAAATAAGTAATAAACGATTATTAAATTTTCGAATAATGCTTAAACAAAAAACATATTATTTACAATCTTTTTTTTTTTTTTTATTTTATTACAAGTATGACAAATTTATGCAGACAACGAATTTTGAGTACACTTGGAACTTTTCGACCCACTTTTCGTAATATCGCACAGTCTTTAACAGACATAGACTTAGTTTTAGTAGAAGAAAATTTTGAACGACTTTTGTTGGTTCGGATCTTTCATTTGCATTTAAATTATTTTAAATTGATTATTCTATTTCATAATTGAATCTTATTTACATTTGCTTATTGGGATATTAGGATTATGATAGGGTATTTAGTTCAATGGGAATCCCTGCTTGTCTATGGCGTAGGACAGGTGAAATTTATAAGGGAAATAAAGAATTTGCGTTACTTATAGGAGTCCCTGTTGACATGCTTAGAGAAGGAAGGCTCTGTATATATGAGGTAATAATGTTTTATTTAATCAAAGTAAAAATCTTCTTTTGATTCATTCTTGAGATATTTTAATTATATAGTTAATGATGGAGGATTCAGCTGTGAATTATTGGGAGGTATGTGAAAGAGATATAAATAAAATTACTCATTGTAAAGAATTTATCTTTTATTATTATAATAATTTCATTCATTAAATTCATTAAAGAAATACGGTAACATAGCATTTGATGCTGGTCAGAAAGCAGTGTTAACATCTTGCTTATTAAAAGGACCAGATCAAGATAGGCAGAATGTTATTTCTTGTTGCTTTTCATTCACAATCCGTCGGGACAAGTATAACATGTACGTGTAAAATCATCATTGATAAATAGTTTTCCCTTTTTGATGTAATTTTTTTTAATTCACTTTTTTTTTTTCCGAAATTATCTATATATTTGTAGACCGGTAAGTTATGTTTCATTGACTTTTTCACGGTGATAATCGATTGTTTTTATATCTTAATTATCTTTCTATAATTGTTAGTCTGCAATTGTTGGAAACTTTCTTCCAATTACTCTCACCACATAAAAAATAAAAGGTTATTTATTTATTATTATCATAATTTTGTTATTGTACTTTTGTTATGGATATATTAAATTTAATATTACATTTATATAAATATAATAAATATATATAGATTTATATATAATAAATATAGATTTGAAAATATTTATATTTATATTTATTTAATCTAAAATAAACTATAATAATAATTACAGCAAACTATATATATAGTCCAATTTTCACCTTTTATTTAATGTTACAAACTTCAAATAACCATCCAAAGCGAATTTATGCTAAGTATAGTATTTCAAATTCCAAAAAAAAAACAAAAAAAAACATACAAACAGAAAACAATCTTTGATAAACTCATAAGATTATTTCCTTGGCCTTCCACGCTTAGCTTTTGGTCTACTGACCGTTGATTTTGCCTTTTCACCTTCATTCTTTAAGAATAATTAGGATATTAATAACCATGAAAATGCAAATGAAAAATGCAAATGATTTGAAGGAAATTATATCTAATTCGTAAATAAAAAATATACATATAATTACCTTTCGTTTAGAAGGAACTTTTGGATCGCTTGGTAACGTTGTGAAAAAGCTATCCAACCTTCCTTGTGTGGCGATCTTAAAATTTTTCTCAAGCTTATCGATTCCTTTTCTTACACGATCTTCACTGTTTGATAATAATAATAATAATAATAAAAAATTTAATATCTGACGAAATTGAAACCTGATTAAATAAATTTCGTTACCTAAATCCTTTTTCGCGAACTAGATATTCTACTGTTCCTTCAATATCAGGTTCTTTCCATTTGAGCTTGAATATATAACACATATATAAAATCATGTATAATTAAGAGAATTAAATATTTCAATATAAAACGAAATATTTACCTCGATCTCTTTTGGATCTAGAACTTCTGGATTAAGAAATAACTCTCGAGCTTCTTCAAACTTCCAGTCTTCTGGAATTGGATATTTTTTAGCATCAAGGTTCTTAATTATTCCCTCTATTGACTTATGTTTTTTTATTAATTCAACCGCCCTATGTGGACCGATGCCTTTAATAGAATCACAATAATCACAACCCAATAAAATACACAGATCTATAAACTAATCAAATAATAATTTTGATCAATATATAGAGATGGAACAATTGAAATAAATGAAAGAAAAAAAAAGCTTACTTGATTCATTGTGAAATCGAGACTACCCAACACTTTACTTAGGTGAATTTCATCAATCGGTAATTTTCTAGCTTCACTAAAAGTTAAATGTCTTAATAATATTGGGGACGAAAAGGTCAATGTGTCCATATCTTCGGACGCAGCTGCGTAAACCTGAATAAGCAAAACGACAAAAAATAAAAAAAAATATAAAGGTAAAAAACCTAATTTCAAAGGAAGAAAGAATAATAAGAAAAATCAAAGGCTTTACTTTTCCATCCCGAGCCATAACGGCACACTGAGCTTCAGCTTCGCATGGTGCCTTAAAAATTGATTTAAGAACTTCCAAGGTTAATAATAACTAAACAACATGCAAAGTTATTTTAAATTTAAAAGGGCAAAAAATGACCACCTCGACATATGGAATTCCCATCAAGCTTAATAGCTTTTTACATTCAGAATTATGTTCTGGAGTAACTTTAACAGTTCGTCGAAGGAATTTATCTATGTCGGCAGCATCACCTGTCATATTTCCATAATATTAATGATGATTTTTAATGAACTGCATTTATTAATATACATATCACAAGTTCTCATGAAAAAGTTACCCAATTCTTGTGCTTCTTCAAGGTTAACATTCGCTTCTTTCCTCCGGGAAAGTCGTTTCGCAAGCTAAAGCGCGTCGTAAAAAAATTTACAATTTAGTGTTTTACAAGAAAAAAAATTGAAATGAATCATTATTCAAAACATCAAAATCTTACTTCACCAGATTTTAAGGTTGGCGGTTTTCCGTCAAAGACATAGCAAGGTTTTAAACCATGTTCAACCATTCGAATTGTTCGATAAAAGATACCCATTAAATGACTAGATTTATCAATAAAAAAATTAAAAAGTTGTTGATAAAATACATTTGAAAATGTAATTAAATCATTGATCTATGTACCTTGTTGTCTCTCCCGATTCGGTGGTCAGTTGCTGACCATCCTGTTGTCTCACCGCGATTAAGAACTGATATATTGACATTGAGGCATCAATAGCAACCTTACGCCCAAAGTAATTCTTGATTTCATTATGTCTGATGGCATTAGGGGAATGATCGCCAATAACTTTAATTAAACCATGAATACCCATTATGAGATTTATCTTGTTTTCTTTTGAAAATTTTAGTGTTAATAAAAAAAGTTTCTAGGGACTTTATCTACGCGTTTCGCGTAGCTGTACGTTGACAAATGTAGCAGGTAGCAGCATGGTAGACATTAAAAACATGATTGGTCTAAAATAAGAAATCATCATGTGATTTTTGCCGGAGTAAATTAGCCTTGAAAATTTTTCATCCCACGTAATTTTTGGCCGGCATTATTTAACTTGGCCGAAATTAACAATATGACGAACACCAGAATACAGAGGTTGGTCATAAAAAGCTCGATGACTTTTAGATACATTTTAGTAATACATTCCAATGTCCGATGTTTTTGTCAATCCAACATTTCTATTCAACATTTTTTTAATCTTAGGATAATTACCAACAATTTTTTTTTATTGTATTAATAAAAGCCAACAAAAATGACTTGTATAATAAAAAAAACTATTGAGACACAACTTAATTAAACTTAAATGTAGATCTTAAATAATTTATCATTATAAATTTTAACAAAATATAATTACATTAATATATAAATACATAATAACTGTAATAGCTAAAACACTATTTATAGATTTTTTTTTTTTTTTAAAAAAAAAAAAGGATTATAAAGCACTTTGTCCTTGAACATTATTAGAATATTCCATTTGTTCATTATCAATAATTTTAGATGACGAAGTACCTTGATCAAAATTTGGAGGCTTAGGAATAAGACCTTTTGTTAAAAAGTTTTTTTTTTAAAAAAAAATTAGCATTTAATTCATCAAAGCGATATTTTACAATTTACAATATAAATTATTTACTTACCTAATGTTTTGAACATTACTTGATCTGAATCAAAATCATTATTATCCGTTGTTAATAATTTATCACCAGTAAAAATAGAATTTGCACCAGAAAAGAAACATAGAGCCTGTTTCAAAAAAAAAATAAAATAAAAAAGGATAAATGTTTAAGAATTTTAAAAAGCAAACACTAAGTCATAATAATGAATACCTGTTCGGGTTGAGAAAATCGTACTCGACCAGCTGATAATCTAACCATTGATTTTGGCATGACTATGCGCGCTGTTGAAATCATACGAACCATTTCCCAAATTGACACGGGCTAAAATAATTTGTTTGCCATGTTAAAAAAAAACTAGGGACAAAAAGTATTATATGATCAAAGCACATACCTCTTGTTTCTCCATAGGAGTACCTTCAACCTGTACAAGAGCATTAATAGGAACACTTTCAGGATGTTGTGGCAATGTTGCTAAAGTATGTAACATTCCTACGCGATCCTCAGAAGTTTCACCCAATCCAATAATGCCGCCTGAACAAACAGATATACCAGCTTCACGAACGTTTGAAATGGTTTCAAGACGTTCATCATATGATCTTGTGGTAATTATTTTTGGATAATATTCTCGTGAAGTATCCAAATTATGATTATATGCTGTTAAACCTGCATCTTTAAGCGCTTTTGCTTGCGATTCATTTAACATTCCTAGAGTACAACAAACTTCCATGTCCATGGATCTACGGAAAAAATCATATCGTCAATCAAAGGTTTAAATAAATGATACGCGTTTTCGCGATTCGAATTTCATTTTTCTAATATTACCTAATCTCTTTCACATAACTCACGATTTTGTTGAAATTACTTTTTCTACCCTTTAGATCTCTCCATGCAGCTCCCATACAAAACCTAATCATCAAAGTAAATTCAATAAATGATCATAATTTAATCTTATATTAAAGTATATGTAAAACAATTTTACCTAGTGCTACCGGCTTCTTTTGCTTTTCTAGCAGCCACGAGTACTTCATCCGTGTCTAATAATTTAGTTGCCTTTACCATAGTTTTATACTTTGAAGATTGAGGACAATAAGCGCAATCTTCTGAACATCCGCCTGTTTTTATGCTTAATAAAGTACATTGTTGTACGGCGAGTGGATCAAAATTCTCACGATGTACTTTTGCCTTTATTTTTTTTTAAAAGATTTAATCATATATTTAAAAAGGGTTAAACAAAGCGCGATTGGAATGACGTCTTGCAAATTTTAAATAATTTAAGAATTCTACTTTATTATTCCATTATTTGTTTAACTTACACCGTAAAATAAAAGATCCATTAGAGGTGAATCGTAAATAGATTTTATTTCTTCTCGGGTCCAATCATTTCTTATATGTTTTGAAGCATATAAACCAGCTACCGAAAGAGGTTTCGTAAAAGTTGGCGTATTACCAACCGAAGCTAACCCACGCACCGTAGTTACCGATAAAAATTTAGATGAAATCGTATTATGACTCTTTGAGGAGAATAAACGGAATGCCATCTTTAATGATAAGTTATAAAGGGATAAAGATAAAGGCAATTAAAAAAAATTCAAGAGAGTACGAGAAGAGAAATATATATCGAATTCTTGGACCGTGATCAACATTTTCATGTTGGTAACACGCATTTTCTAAAAAACAAAATTTTTAGATATGATCCGCAGGTTCATCTAAAACCCTATCGGATGAATTTACAAATTTAGCATAAACCATTATTATCAATACATTTTCAATACATAATAAAACATTACCATTAGGAAGATTAAAGGTAGATTCATTTTACGCATAAAGTTAAAAACAATTCTTTTTTGTTTCCGACAAACCAGTTTAAAACTTTTCCCCCGATCGGTCAGCAAGAATAGGATTAGGCTACGAATAGTTCGGATCAATCCGAAAATTTTTCACAATCCGAACTTGTTAAATTTTACAATTATTAGATGAAATAGTATAAGTTTGGTTGCGATACAAGAGCATTGAATTCTTCTTTCAAATCAAAATATAAGTCGATACGTTTTGCGCAAAAATTAAAAACGATTTGCACAATAATAAAAAATTCAAAAAATCAAAGAAACAAAAAAAAAAAAAGTTCCTAATTTCCAACATTCCAATAATCTCAAAATCAAAAGAAAAATAATAAAAGGTTTTGATCTGAAATTATAAGAACTTGTGAAAAACAGCAAAACCAGAAATTTAGTAATTGCGTTCCATAAGTTCCCCAAACGAATTCTAATCTGAATTAGACTTTTTTTTCTTTCCAATATTTATCTAGATCCAATTCCCCTTCTTCCTTTATTCCACAATAAATACTTCATTCATCCAATAAAATAAAACGATTTTATGATCGCGTTTTATAGGACCCAATCTATCATAGAAATGTTAAAGCTTTAAAAATAACAAATTGATCTTTTTTAATTTTTAATCTGGATTCGTTTTTAAAATTTCTTGATCATTCTCGAAATCTGTTAACATATCTATTTGGAGATACAAGAACGATTTTTCATTTAACACTAGTTTGATTTAAATCTAAGTTATATTATATTACATATTATCGTTTAATTCCGCAATAAATCGCAATCGGTATATCATCATCCAATTTACAATACTTTTTTTCGATATATAAGGTCGGATTCGGTTAACTTAAGAACACTTTATACCTTTAAGGATTTTTGTAGTGCGGTCATGTGCGCGTGCACATGATTGGTGAATTTCCGCACGTTTTATTTGTGCGCAATCCGCACTTGACAGTAAAATATTTAATAATATATCTAATCACCTAACGCTAAGTTTTAAGGAGTTCAATGTAATTAAGTAAAGATAAAAAATTTTTCAGTTAATATATCATTAAAATGTGGTTTTTTAAAGTTCAAAGAAACATACAAACGTTGCGTCTTCATAATTTTATTATCACTAATAAATTGATCACTAATAAATTGGTATGTTTCCTTTCAACTTTTAAATTAAAAGATTTTAATTTAATTTAATAATTGATAAATAATTTCAACCTCAGAAATCATCATTGATAAAGAATGGAAAATATGGATCAAATAGTACAATAATTTTACGAAATTTAACTACATCCAATAGACGTAGTAATCCTTATCAGAAGCGTATTGATAGGAATAAATCCTTTTTAATGTACACGATAGCCGTACTAGTTTTCGGTGTAGGTTTTACTTATGCTTCAGTTCCTTTATATCGAATGTTTTGTCAAACGACTGGATTTAGTGGAACACCTAATACGGATATTTCAAAATTTAGTCCCAAAAGGCTTATCCCGGCAAAAGAATCACGTAGGATTAAAATACATTTTAATGCGGATACCTCACTTGCCCTGGATTGGAGTTTCGTTCCTCAACAACGTGAAGTTTACGTTTTACCTGGAGAAACTGCTTTGGCTTTTTATACGGCAACGAATAAATCGAATCAAGATATTATTGGGTTGGCCACTTATAATGTAACCCCTTATAACGCTGGTCAATATTTTAATAAGATACAATGTTTTTGTTTCGAAGAACAAAAATTACAAGCAGGAGAAGCCGTGGATATGCCAGTCTTTTTCTTTATAGACCCGGAATTTGCCGAGGATCCTTTAATGAAAGATATTGATACCGTAACTTTATCGTACACTTTTTTCAAGGTAAATCATTTGAATCGTATTTTTTGAACAAAGATGAGATAACAATTTTAACATATTCATTTCATCCATTCCTTTAGGCAAAATATGACGACAATGGAACCTTGATTCCAGTTCCAACAACATAATATTATTTTTAAACAATTTCTATCTTTTATCTATCGTGGAATTAAATATGATTTTCACGCGCTCTCAATTACAAAACGGCAAAATTTTATAAATGATCGCGTTTCTTGGCTGTACGCTGATAAGGTCGTAAAACCCATTCGATATCAGCATCTTTCAAATCGACAGTTCCCAATTTGATTTCGTAAACTAAATTATAAATGCCAAGCAAGAAGTATTATTAAGGAGGTTTATTAAGCAGGATTCACATTGAAATTAATAAATAAGTACATACGTCGCATTTCAAAACGGGGTCCAACCTCAACCAATTGTACTTCTTTGTTATTTATTTTTACGTACACATGATGTCTAAAGGTTTTAAAAAATAAAATTTTTTTTTTAAAAAAAAAAAAAAAAAAAAATAAATTAAATTAAATATTAAAAGTAGAATTTCATTTACCGGAATGAAATAAAATCGCTATCATTTGCAAAAGTCATAACACGTTTACTGTCTTCCTTGGGAACCGGGAACAGAAATTTAATGATATTCATCACCTACAAATAATTCAACAATTTATTATATATCTGATTAAAGTATTTAATAGTTATTAATTACTTACCCTACGACCAAGATTGGAATTAAAGTTATGAAATATTAAATGTGGGAAAACTTCAGAAACTGTGCCTTCGTCTTGTATATCATGTCGAAGTACGACATTATGCAATGAAAAGAATGCCGTAGGCCCATAAGGAAAATGACATACAATCAGTCCATCTAAAGAATAACAACCGGAGAAAACATTAATATAATCTTTTAAAAAAAAAAAAAAAAAATTTGATGAATAAATTTATTACCTGGTTCACCACGATGCTCGTGCACTATTATTAAGTCAGTAACATCATTTGTCTTGCAGGCATTGACCAAATCTTTGACTACAGAATTACCACGATTTATTCGTTGTGAATTAGGGAATACTAGACGCATTTCCTGATTAAAAAAGGGTATAATCCTTTTAATTAGTCATAAATCTCGGTATAAAAATAACATTCAATAAATCACCTTTGCGAATTGTGAGAGTCTGCTACTCGGATCACGTGATGTTGTTATCAAAACTTTCGGATCGTAAATCCCAGCGCGCGCATATTCATCATCGATATGTGATGATGGTTCTACAATTTGATTGAATTGATTGATAAGTTTATGGAAGGTCAAAAATAATAACTTTTCAAATCGTACCATTCTGTGCTTCATCAAAATTTAAATCTTTTTGAAGTTGTGTGGCTTCCGTTCGCAATTCGGTCGGAATTGGTCTACCCTCTAATAAGAAAAAGAAAAAAAGAAAATTGAATTCAATTGACTTTTTGGCTTATTATATTTGATAAAAATTTTTAATTTACCCCGAATAGCTTCCTTAATTTTTTGTTTTCTTTCATAAATTTGTTTTTCTTTGGTCTCTAATGACTTTTTATATAGATATTCTCGACGAAGTCGCGTTTGTCTACGAATCTAATGAAACAATAAATTACGTTGTTGTAAAATAAATAATAATAAATGAAATACATGATGAAAAAAAAAAAATGGTTACCATGTTTGATATTTGAAAGATGAAAAAAAAAAATTTAATATATATTATATATATTTTTTTTTGATTTATGAATTGTTCGTTACACGAACATTTGTTAAATATCGATTTTATTCAATTCGAATTTTCAAAAAAATTCATTTTTTTATATAACATGACCCAAATATCAACAAGCAGCAATAAAAAAAGTGGTCAAAGGTACCAGAATACTTTTGCATTTCAACCAAATAAAAACTCAAAAAAGACGAAATTTATTAATTCTTTACCCATAAATGGACTGTAAGGAAATATATTATTATTATTTTTTTTAAAAAAAAAAAAAAAAAAAAAATTAATTTTAATAAGAATATCCTATAATTTAGTTGCCATCGATGTAAAGGAATTGTTGAATGGCGTAAAAAATATAAAAAGTATAAGCCTTTAACAACACCGAAACGTTGGTAAATTTATAAATTTTTTTTTTTAAAAAAATTAATTTTCTTGACGAAACTTAACAATAATGTCTTAATTTTTAGTGTAAGTTGTAATGAAAAAACTGTTAAAGAAGCTTACCATATCTTATGTAACCAATGTGCTACAGATAAGAAAGTATGTGCAAAATGTCAAGAATCGGTTGAGATTGTTTCAAGGTTGGTTAGATAATGTTATCATGAATCTTATATAATAATATCTAACTTTATTGATTATCTTTATTAGTAACATTAAGAGTAATAAGGAATTATTAAAAGAACAGCAAGCGCAGGAAAAATTGTTATCATCATTGCCTGAACGAAAGAGAAGGACATATCTTCGTCAATTGGAACGTGGTGAAGCGCCGTTAAGTAGTTTAGTTAAAGATTTAGATGATGATGACGGTTTCGATGATTTTTCAGATAAAGAGGAGCTAGCATAATATTCATATTTTAAAATTTTTTAAATTGAGTTTACTTATGTATATTTTATAAACTTTATTTATTAATAAAAACGGAAAAATGATATGAACAATTTAAATAAGACAAAAATTTATAGTAACAATAATATATATATATTTCATTTAGGAAACACTATTTGCAAATCGCACGTTGATAATTTAACTACATACATTCCTAACCCTAATTCCTTACAAGTATAATTCAAGAGAACCAGTTACTGCTTCGATAACAATTTGTGATGTCTTTTCATCATCATGACTATTGTGATGTTTGTGATGATGTTTGTGATGACGGCATCCTTTCTTAGATTTCTTCGTTTTCTTTACTTTCTTTTTATCGTCATCGTCATCATCATCATCATCATCATGATCATCATGATCATGATCTCCGTCATCGTCTCTATTTTTTTTGCCTTTATAACCAGTCTTGACATTTCGTGACTTTCTTACATATGTAATATCTTTACCCTCAACATATGAATATCCAAATAATGTGGAGACAGAGAAATCTCCATGGTATGTATCAGGCTAAAAGAAAGAAATGGAGATTAGATATACGTTTCGTATAATGATTCGTCCAAACCATAATACGTACCATAGTTGCGACGACGCCACCGTTGACAGATCCAGCTTTGAAGTTAAGGACTTGTTTTTTGTTCAATTCATGCTAAATCATATAAAGAATATAAATATTGTTATTCAAAGATATATAAAACATAAAATTAAAACATAAAGTTAAAACACGTACCACTGTAACATCTACATGACCGTTTACGGATTTTGTAGTAATGGATATTTCATCAGACCAAGGGTTAATAATTGTATGGATTCCAATGGCGCCATTTATAGTACGAACCTGAATTTTAAAAAAGAAATTAATTATCAAGTAAATTAAAAAAAAAATGATTTTATCGATTCACTTACATCAAAACTCTCGGCGATTACGTAATCACCTTTAACGTGTCCGTTAATGGTGGCAACTTCGGCAATAGCGGCACTGATATCCTAAAGCAGAAACAAATCAGGTTTATATCTAAAAATAAACAATAAAATTTCGTAATAATATAATATATTCTACTCACATCAACACGAATATGTCCATTAATAGTCTTAAGACTGACATAAGCGAAATCAATAGCTCCCAAACCTTCAGCAGAAATCCAACTATTTGGTACATCAACTAAAAGTGATCTGAAGACATGAATTTGGCTTGGAATGGTTATGATAGTATCAACTCGGACACATTTTTGGGAAGGACGAGGACCTTCAAATGATGGAGCCTATATAAATAGAAATTGCAAAAAAAAAATATTTAATAAAAAATTTTATCTAATAAATTAAAAAATAAAATAAGTACCTCAACAGTGACAGAATAGTCTTCATCGATGATATCAATTCTAATATCAACTTGTTCTTGAAGAGAATCGTCAGAAAGGAAGATTTTATTTGTAACATTGAGAAAATCTTTTGCGTTAGGATCTTGACGAATAATAACACTTCCGTGCTAAAAATAAAATAAATAAATAAATCTCTATAATTATTTTATCGAGCTTTTGTGTTAAACTTACCGCTATCCCTTTAACCTTAAAAATCAATCCAGTGACATCATTAGGATCTAATAACAATTCACTTGGACCATTCCACTTTACGGAGGAATCACATGTAGGAGATTCTGGAACGTTGAGAGTTGCTTCGGATGGTGGAGCATTATATGGCATTTCATGTGATCCAATTTCTGGATCCATGCCAGGAACTTGAATCCAAATATATTGATCATCATTGGCCTATGTATAATGCCAAAGCGAGGTTTAGACGTATTAATTATTAATTCTCTTTATAGTTAATAATTATGGACTGAAATACATACATTAAACATGAAGTACGAAATTCCAGCTAATAAGAATCTTCCTCCCAAAAATACAAGTAATACAACAAGCAACGCCTTTCTCCAAGCTTTCTTTCTTTGCTGATAACGACATTCATGCGGATTGGAGTCAAGAGAAGTTGGAGGAAATGTATAACGAGGTTTCTCACTGTAAGGTGGCAATTCTCGTTCTTTTTTGTTATTATTTAACAAAAGTAAAATATATTGGCAAATAACATCGTTAAAGGGTATTTATTAGGGTTTCATTATTGAACATTAGAAAGAGAGTTAATGTTTTTGTAGCATTTTGAAAAGAATCATAACATACCACTAGGAACTTGAGAATCCTCAAACGGAATAGCAGTAAAAGAAGTTTTTTCAGTCATTAGAAGTATTCGTTAAAAAATAATTTTTTTGTAATGGAGCAACTTAAATAAAAAAGGAGGGTCATGCGACATATATAAAATTTGTAATTTATATGCATTATTGTACTAGCTTTTTATTGAGTATTGGCAATATTGGCTGGGATTTGTGATACCTTACTACATTAAACACTTTATCACGTGAACACCAGCCTATCTTTGTTATCTTTGTTACAAGATCAAACAAACCATTTTTTTTTTTATATATATATAAAAAATTTAACATTTGGTTAAATTAAACTTGATTAAAAATCCAAGTAAAATTTATTAACAGCTATAAAGATTAACAAATAAATAAAATTAATTTTAAATTAATTATATCTAAAATAAAAAAAAAAAATAATATTATCCTTTAAAGCATAGGTATAATTGGCTATAAAATATTATAGAAAAATTATAATATTTTAATATCTAATGATTATAAAAAGATGAAATAAAATTTATTAGATTTGTCATATTAAGATCTATCTAATGATAGTATTTTTAAATTTTTAAAATTAATAATTATTAATATAA